ATATATATATATATATATATACACACACACACACACATACATGAGAGATTCACCTACTTAGAGTGAGTTTGCCCTCAACAAATTTGCTTGAGTGTTTTTGACTCATCTCCATTAATAAAAGTTATTTTTTCTCTGATTTATGATAAAAAAATGGCAGCTTTATTTATTTTATAACAATCAGTACAGAACCACATTTAGTCAATAGGAAAATATCAAATGATACTTATTGCAATATAAAGATAATATTGCTAGAAAAATCTGATTGGAAAATCATTTATAAACCTTGCTTTTCTTGTGTCTTTCAAAAGATATCTTTTGTATAAGAGCTTTTTGTTTTGCAGCCAAGTCTAAAAACCAAACACTGGCTTATGGTTATGCAGACATAAGGGAATCATCTGACACACTTTTTAAAGGGAAGGTACAGTGAAGTGAATAGATCTTAGTTGTCAAGACAAGTTATTAGGCATAAGAACTAGCAACATTTCTTCTCTTTCAAGAAGGAAGGCTAGCATTCTCTATGCTTACCCCACAGTCTACTATTTTATATTTGATACTTGATACAGATTAAAAATTGTTAGTTACTATCTGAATTTATATCCTGGGTAAGACGATAAAATACTTCCGACAGCAAGGCCTCTGATCAGAAGATTTTGAGGAGCATGGAATCACCTCTTAATTGCTGGTGTTCCCAGGTCCACCTTGATCCAGGGTGGTAGCATCTGTTAGTGTCCCAACTACGGGCAAATAGTTAACACCTAAACTGGACTCAAAACACTATGAAAATGTAAAAATAGGTATAGTACCGGAAATACTTTGTAAAAAAATTATTATCAGCAATAAATTTTTGAAGAAAAAATATTACCAGCTATACATTTTTGAAGGAAAAAAAAATATTACCAGCAATAAAAATCTTGTCGGAATTAAATAACCCATTGTGGTTGATATGCCATAAAACAAACCAAACTATCTGAATTTTGAGGATGAAGATTGATCATTATTTACATTTTGGATTAATGTCCTCATCTTTGTTGTTGTTATCGCAATGTTTTGGGCAGTGTTCTCTCTGGCCTTCTTCACAAATCTGTCAATCTGGGTAACCTACCTTCAGGGAATTTTGTACAGAACCCGTTATTTAATCTGTGTATAGAAATAAATACATGGCACATAGGAATAAAGAAACAAAAGAAAAAAATTCATTAGCAACATTAAATAAAAGAAGTGGCAAAAAAAAATGGTCAAACGTAACAGCAGCAACAAGCAGGCATTACGAACAGCAAATTTAAGATTCCAAGTTCTAGATATAGGATTGCTTAGTAGATTAAAGCATTGGTTTGAGAATTTGGTGGCATAGTATTTATGAATTCAATCTCCAGCCTGGATATTACAGACTGAATGAGTACTAAATAGAACGAATATACTGAGAACAGTAAACCCAACAAAACAAGAACAAACTAACTCCATAGGTTAAACGGTTCATTTTGAAATTTCCTGAAGATTTTGATAACAGCAATAATGTGGAGGACATTGAGACAAATGTACATAAGGTAAACAAAATTCGTTATATATATATATATATATATATATACATACAATCTGTTGTTTTTCAAATGCGTAAATGTTATTCTATATGAAAGTTTTCACTGAACTGTTCTGGGCAACATTTGTTTACTGTGAATGTATTTGTATGTGATTGATGCTGTAGGAAAGAAACTTCTGCTTACTTCAATCATAACTCTTGTCTTCCATTATGTGTCACTTGCAATGAACATGACTGCATCAATTGAGTTATACAAATTGAGTAGTGCTATGCTACTGACATCACTCAATTGTCAACTACTTATACACTTGGGCTAAACAGAAATGGAAGGAGGTGACATTACAGTAGTAGAGAGAGTAATCCAGCCAACTTATTCAAGCTAACTTTACATTTGATCTATTAAATGTTTATTGCAGTTACAATACCATACACACAATCTACAAGGTCTGTTAAAAAAGTATGGTACCTTAATTCCAAAGTACATTCTTTGAAACCTTGCACACTTAACCATGCTTCACTTTCATTTGTCAAAGATCTGGAATCTCCTCATCCTTTGGTATTAATTGCTTCCTTTAATTCTATATCCTTTCAGAATGTAGGTAATAATGGCTCGCCACATTTTTTCTTTCTTATTTGTTAATTGACATGACTTCTTGTGATAGGTAGTTGAATTGTTTCCCATTGCTTTCACTATAGTATTAACTTCACTGCAGACAATCAAGGTTGAAGAGCTAAGTGTACTTAAATATTTAACCCATGGCTGGGGGAAGAAGAGTTAGATTGATTCCTTTCCCAAGAGCATTAGTGTGAAATTTAATACTATTTTTGAAAAATAAATCTTGAAAAATTTCCCAGTATTTTACAGTATACATTTCTAAATTTCAGCTTTGATTAGAAGATAAAAAAAAAAATACAAACATTATCTTTAGATGTCCATTGGTAAATTAAGAAACTTTTGAAATGGTGTGCACTAATGTCAGTGAAATTGTTTTGTCTTTCCTTTCATCATTATCATTTATTTCCAATATTGTTGTAAAATAAACAATAAAAAATGCAGCAAGTGAATTAATTATTAAATAATGATATTTAGCTAAAAACAAAACACAACTTATCTTTACCTTGAGAAAATCTTAATTAAAACATTTTCTTTTAAATACCTAAAAGTTTAATTATGATTTATCAATCCAGGCATATAGACAAGAAAATACTGATGCCCTAAGCACAGCCAGAACTAAAATGGTTCTCTCCTCAGCCATTCTCTGATAACAACAAGGCTTAGGGAATTTATTTTAATCATTTTACCTTAGGTAAGGCAATAAAGCCATGAAAACACAAGGGGTTACTGAGTGTGAAAGAACATAAGAAAAAATTAAGAAGTGAGAACAAAAAAAAGAACAGTAATCAAGAAGACAGAAGATCACTATTGACATTGCATTTAAGTTTTTTTAAGATCATAGTTGGCTGGAAAGCAAGAAGTGTGAGAAAAAAGTGTTAACTTAGAACTCACAGCTACATTTCGCTATTTCAACTCTAAAATGATGAGGTCTTGATGTCAATCAAGTACTGCACTTAAATTAATGAAGTCTTGGTACCATAGAAGAAAGTTCATCAGAACAATTACCATGAAGGTATTTTATAGAGATTGCCCATGAAGCTACATTACAGTGCTAGGAAGGTGACTGAAGATGGGATATCAAGTCAGGATTAATAACATTGCAGATTCTTCTTTGGATTTTTATAAAAAATCACTAAATATATAGCAAATGCACTAGATTATATGTGCCAGCAATATTCAAAACATGAAAGAATGGCAGAATTATAAACCTGTAAGGTAGATTCAGGTGAGAGAAATTGCCTAATACGACACAGTGAACCAACTTTCCTAGCAGAAGACAATTGATTAAGTATAATCAATCCAATCCATGTCAGCAGAAAATGTTATGTTGAGAAGGTGCAATAAATCACTATCCAAAAGAATCCTTATCCCATGCTAATGGAAGGCAAAAAGGGAGTTAATGTTTTAATTTAGTAACACAGGATGTTCATAATGTGAAAATACCTACCACTTTATATTTGAGATATGAATGTAATTAATGAGAAATTCAGAAACTTGTTATTTCAAATAAATCAAGTCATACAAGACATTGGATTAAACTTTAGCATGAAATGAGCCATGGGGGTTGATGTCATAAAAGAGAAACAAGCAAACGAACAAACATACCAGATATTAAAATAGACATTTTGCTAATACTGCAAAGATCCTTGGAGGCAAGGGAATGGAATTAAGAAATTTAGGATGTTCAGAGACATTCTTGAAAGCATATAAAATTAAAGCCATTTTCCAGTGGATAACCTGTTATTTACAGATAAGAAATAAATTCAGTAAATATGCAGTAAATACACAAAATAATGGAAAGGGTCATAAGACAAGGATATATCTTCTCACCAGACTTACTCAGCTTTTACAGAAAGGTGATCCTGAGAGAACTAGAAGTTCTATCAGAATTTATTATTGGAAGATACAATTTTAATAAATTATGATATATGCAGATAACACAATTTTGATAAAAGACAAAGTAAGGAAACGGCAGCAATTCCTAGAAGGGGTCATAAAGAAAAGTAGAAAAAAAAGGACTAAACATCCATTGTAAGAAGATCAAATGCATTTTTATTGCTTTTTTTATTAAGTATCCCACATTGTAATAATAGATCTGCCAAAAAAGGTATTATATAGGAATAAAGTGTCACTGCCGACACTTGAGTTTGAACATAGATCGCTAGTAAGCAAACACAGGTGATCCCATTATTGAATTAAGTAGGCCACATGACCATAGAGGAAATGCATATATGGGAGGTAGCGTGTGTCTAATTGATCTGCATTTCTATTCTAACCTCTATTACTATTTCTACTCTATCCTCTATTACTATACTATTTCTCTATATGGATTACTTTTCTAGCGACTATTAATGAGCAAGTACTATTAGTGTGAGTGATATTTGAAGACACAAGTATTGTTCAATGGCATACTATAAGTTGCATCTACAATTACAAAGTCTCTACTATAAAAAGCATTATGAAAGTGATAACAAGTATTCGTTAACATAACAAAAATGGATATGAGTGTTTGTTTACATCACAAAAAAAAACAAGTGAAATGTTGTAAGAGCCTGGATGCAAATTTACTGTGGATGATCTAGCAATTAATAACAAAATTGATAAAAACAAAGAAAGATAAACCAAATGAAATTTCCTGGAATATATACCCAATCATAGTAAAAAAAAAAAAAGTTTAAAATTTCAGTTTCCCCTTACCTTCTTGCACATGTGTAGCCACATTTCAACCTGATGAAGTTCGGAAGGATGAAATGTGTCACAGGAAAAAATGTTTCTACTTTGTCATTTTTCTTTTATGCATTACCAGATATTACCCTTTTCTTATTTATTTTTCACCTTTTGTCTAGTCATGGCATGTTCAAACACCAGTTCCTGTATGATCACCAAAGTTAAGTAACATAGAGTCTGGTCAGTATCTTGATGGGTGACTGCTTGGGAATACCAGGTGCTGTAAGCTTGGATTTGCAAGTGGTGTAATGGCTCAGAATTATTTATTGGAGAGCCAAGTTCCAATTCCAGTTAGGTTGTTCTATTCACTTATATGCAAATAACCTTGAGAAAGTTATGAATTAACTTCTTATCCACCCAGCTATGGATTAATTAGTAAGACTAGTATCACTAAAACCATTATTACCACCCTAAAATAATTGCATACAAAATATTTAAATTTTAGCATTAAATAACCCATATACTGTTAAACAAAATCAACCAACCCTAAACAAAGCAATAAAAACTGTTAAAATGCAAGATCTTACTGAGAGTAGAAGAAACAGAGAAGAGGATTCAAGGAAGTAGATGATGTCACTTGATATTGCATTTAAATTTTTGAAGATTGTAGTTGACAGGAAAGCAAGAATCTGGAAGAGAATTCCTGTATTTATCTATCCACCCACGAGGATAAAATGTGGCACAAGGCCGGTTTAAAGTGGGTATCTTCGAGCCCATAGGCTCGGCCAAAAATATGGCCTTTCTGAACCCGCCTAGACGGGTTCAAAGCCTGTCTACCACCCCGGACGAAACCTTGCCTCTCGGCAAAGCCTCGTCCGGGTCCCTCACTGCAAAATGCAGAGAGTTCGACTGAGAGTGAATCTCTTGTGGAAGAGAATTCCACAACCATGAGAAGTCAGTGCCAATCTAGTATTCCACTTGTAAGTTGTAAAGTTGAGGTACCAAAGTGGAAAAGCTTATCAGAACAATCACAATGAAGGTATTAGTAGAAAAGGTACAGGGAAGCTTCATTATGGTCATGGTAAAGCAAATGATGTTGAGATGCCAGGTCAGGACAAATAATGTTGCAGATTCTATTTTATCCAGAACATTAATACTTGGGTTCACAAATTTAAATAGGTGTGACACTTTCAAAGCATGTCAAGCTAAGATCAAGATTATTGTGAAAGAACACCAGTGATTGCTTTCCAAATTTAAAATCTTATAATCATCATTGTTAGCCTTGGGTTATTAGCACCCATCTTCATTAAAACATTGCAGACACAACAAATATAAGGAAAAAATTGCTTATTACTTCATCTGGGTCCACCAGAACCATTATAGTAGAGGAAACCGTTAGACTGGTACTTCTGCCTTGAAGCTAGAGTTTTAAGAAAAATTTAGATTTCGTTCCATCGAACCATGAAGAGATAAAAGAGAAAAGAGAATGTAGGCGGTCTTTGACATTTTAAATTCCAGCTGAGATCTGTCACAAAGTGCAAACCGGGATGCCAAAAATATTTTTCTTTAAAACATTCAAGTAAGTAAAAAGTATACAATATATTTGTAAGATGTTTTTCACTTGAACAAGTGATTTTGTTGAAAACACAAATGGCTTTACATTTTGTATAGAATTAACAAGTACACTTCACTTAAGAAAAGTTTATCTTGTGAAAGTTAAAAACTCTGAATGAAATTGGAATGAAGTTAGAATCTTTTATATTGATTTTAGACAGAATTCAATGTGAAGGATATGAGAATATTTTGAAATGATAATAAGTTTAAGAGCAAAAGAAAAGTTTATAATAAATGTTCACAAAGTACAAATCTTCATGTATACATATGCAACCTTGGAAAAATCTGTTGTAGGAGGAAAAGTCAGTTGCTTTTATAGCAGTTTGGTGGACCCTTATTAGGTTTTCTATTTGTGGAGCATAGCAATTGATTAGCATATTTTTCTATGCAATTCATTCTACTGAGTGTAACTCGAATGATGATTGGTTAGCAGAAGCTAATTTACATGACCTCGTTCAGTAGTGAAGCATTTTCTTTTTTTCTTTATTTCTGCAAAAGCAGCATGAAGGTCATTGATGAAAATTAAGTATGAAGTAGGTCCAAAGATAGAGCGTTGGTGGGGGACACCTGCATTAGTACAAAAAGATCAAGAAGAGTGGCCATTGAGGACAACTTTCAATTTGTGATTTGATAAGAAAGACTGAATCAATTGAAAAATTTTTCTGGAAATACCATAACCTTTCAACTTGTAAAGAAGATCGCTATACCAAACCCTGTCAAATGCTTTTGAGATGTCAAGGCAATATCCCAAGCTTTACCATTCTTATCTAAATCTTGACAGACTCTTCCAGCAATAATCATTAAACAGTGTAGGATCCAGGATAGAGCCTTGGGAAACACCAGCATTCTTATAAATGGAACTGGAGGAGAACCCGTTTAGAATGACCTTCATTTCACGGTTTGACAGGAATGATCATATTAAGTCAAATAATGGTCCTGTAATGCTGTATCCCTGAAGCTTAGGAAGAAGGCTGGCATACCAAACCCCAAACACTTTACAGATATCCAGAGCCACAGCTTGAGCTTCTTCGTTATTGGTCAAGTGCTTGGTATACAAATTCAGTAATGGCTGTGAGTACATCAGTGATAGACCAGGCAAAGCAGAAACCATATTTATTGTCAAAGAGTAGATCATAGGATGTAAGGTGCTTAACCACATGGACATTGATTAAAGCCTTGAAGACTTTGCTGAAGAGTGGTAGGAGTCTGATAGAATGGTAGTTAGATAGGTCACAAGGGTCTCCAGTGTTCTTGAAAACAGGGATAACAAATGAGGACTTCGAGCAGGCTAGAAAGCATGAGTCAGTGAGGCAATAGTTATATAGTTTGGAGATGACTGGAGCCAGTTCAGGAGCACATTTCTTCAGAACTATGGCTGGTATCCCATCCCTACCACTAGCCTTATGGGAGCCTAATTTAGAGACAATGTCCCATACCATTGATGAGGTTATATTCATCTCACTCAATAGAGCCTCAGTTCTAGGGGGAAAATCAAGAGTGGGTACACTGGATGAATCGAGTGTTGAATTGAGAATTTCTGAGCAAAGCATTCAGCTTTATCAGCTGAGGATCAGTCAGGACCTCAAATTGATTAAATAGAGGAGGTATTGTGGATTTTCTGTTGTTCAGCACACTATTGCAAACTTTAGAGCCAAAATTGTGAGGTGCAATACATTGTTTTATTCTTTTAGCAAATAGTAATTTTGCTTCATTGAGGACACATTCGCAGTCATTACAGACAGAGACAAAGAGAGATGTCTGTTGCAATCGGACATGTCACTTTGGTACAGATGAAAGAAGTGATTCCTATGGGCAATAGCAGCTGAGCAAGCAGATGAGCATGATTTAAGTTTATATTTTCTTGTAGGGATAAAAGCCTTAATGCCAGGAGGATTTTAACCAGGTGGAGACCTCGGACGCACATTGTTGAATGAGGTGCTTAAAAACCACATTCCAGGGGACATCATGAAGGAAATCATAGAATGAGCCCTAGTCGGCTCATTGATAACTGAAAGATGTTCTCTTGGTAGGAGGTTCCTTGCTGGTGGAGGAGTAGAAGGAGATGTTGACAGACACTACAGCATGATCAGAGTTGCCAAGAGGGCAGAGCTGCATGGCATGACAAGAGTTGGGGATGGAATTAAAACAGAAATTAAGAAGGGAAGTATTACCATCAACATTACTGGGGAAATGTGTAGAAAAGTCAAGGAATTGAGTGATTGAAAAGTTAAGGGTTTGTATGGCAGCGAGGTCAGTTACAGAGTGTTTAAGCCACTTGGTATGGTGGGCATTAAAGTCACTGAACATGAATATGTGTGCAAATGGATGTAAAGAGATAACCTTGTCTGTATTATTGGAAATGCTGTCAAGAACTACACAGTCTTAGGAGGAAGAAGAATAATAGAGAAAGAAGAGATAGCTTACAGAATTGAGGATAGATAGATAGAGACACATATATGAATATTCCGGAGATTCACGAGCAAGTTCTCTAGCCAGTGGGAGAAGATCCTGTGCATAAACTCTCAGGCCATGCATATGGATTTCAGAGTCCTTTCTAAGGAGAGGAAGGTAATCGGGAATCGAGAAATCAGAAAGAAAAATAGCTAAAAAACTAAGTTATTAAGTATATATAAATAGATAAGTGTGTGTGTTTGTGTACATATGTACACACACACACACACACACCCATGCATTTGACATAAGAAATTTGTATAGTAAAGAACAAAATTATATGTCAGGTCTTGATAGATTAACTTGCTAATTTCATAATCAAGCTCTGGTAAATATTTTCTCCCTCCCTTTCTCTCTTTCTATACACACACACACACACACACACACACACACACACACACACACATTTGTGTGGTAAATTTTCTTTCAAATGGAATTAGATTTTCAGAGTAGGATTTGGTACTGAAATTTTTCACTTATTCTGAAATGGTTCTCTGAAGGTACACTAATTTTCTTAAAAGTCTAGTGTTTTTGCTAGGAATTAGTCATCAACATTTTTATGCATTCTGGCTATTAATTATGAAGCATACATGCTATATTTGATTCATGGAAGAAAATTGAAAGGTTTTTCTTTTTAAGTGTGAAGAGATTTTTTTCTAAATATCAATAGAATTACAGCTGTTTTACCAAATTTCCTAGAAGTTTAAATAATTTACCTTTTTGATGTTCATGGATCAGTAAAAATTCCATATATGATTCTTTTGCAACTTCAGTGTAATCAAATACCGTGTCAGATAAGTTAATCCAATACAACTTTTTTTATGATTGAGAGTTTATGGAGATAGGGTCTTTTTGATTGATATTTTATACACTTTAAAACACTATTGAAAATGTACTTTGGCAAAGTTCTTGTGTCATTTGATGCCAGCTACTTCAAAGACAACTTCAAAAGACTAGTCTGCATTAAGTCTTTTTAACTGACCTTCTTTTCATGTCTTTTGACTCTTCCTGCAATTCCAACATGAGATCTTCATTGTCAGATGGTCGTAAGTCAGTGTATTGTAATAGTGGTCAGTTTTAATTTTTTAAAAAACCTATATGCAACAGCATGATTTATATTAGCACTTGAAGATAACTGATACAAAATTAAATTTTGGTGTTTATTAGAGGATTCATATTTTTTTTTTTTTGTTATTGTTTGTTGTTTGTAATTTTTTATTAA